AATGCACCACATCACACTTATGGGCACTCACATTCACATTCACGGTGTAGGGTTAATGTTTCTCCTTCAGGGATTGGAGAATCATAGTAAGGGGGGGTGGTGGGTTTACACACACTGTAGATACGCATGGCGTGGCTCGTGGGGCCCGGCCCTCCTGGGCTGAGGGTTGGAGCCAGGGAGCCCATTTACATCATGGTGGTGTGGCTGGGTTCCCGGTGTCTGGGGGTCCCGTGGCCCTGTGGCGGGTGGGCCAGGTGGCACCCTGGGGGCTCTGTGGGTTCCTGCCGGGGTTCTGCCTCCTGACCGGCTGTGGTTTATGGGCCCTCTGCTCGGGGGTCCCGATGGGGGATTGACCGCTCGTGGCGGGCCGCTCTCTCCTGTGTGTTGGTGGGGGCCCGTCCTGGGGGGTTCGGGCGGGTGGCCCTTCGCAGTCCCCTGGTTCCCGATGCGCCGGGGACATATGCCTTGCAGCATATGTCGGGCGGTGGGTGGGCGGTGGGTGGGCGGGCCCTCCTGCCCCGCCTGTCTGGGGTGTGTCTCTGGCTCTCTGGGGGTGCCGGCCATTGCCGCCCTGGGTCCTTGGGCCTGCGTGGTGTCCTGAGGCCTCTGCGGCTCCCTGGTCTTGGGGTCTGGGCGCTCCTGCGGTCTTGGGGTGCCTTACCGCCCCCCTTCCCCCGCAGGGCTGGCCCTGGACCCTGGTGATGGTTTTCATAAACACATTGGGAGGGTTCAAATACATGCATGCATGTTCGATACTTCAGCTCCGTGACGCATCGCAAAGAACCGATGGGATCACTCCAAAGGGGCCCACTTGCTTCTCAAACCTACCACACCGTGCTGGCAACTCTTCTCTGCAATCGGGCTTTCCCCCTCCACCAAGACTCTCACATTTTTGGTGTTCAGTATAGACTTCTCTTTTGTTTTTGTTTTTCAGTACAGTATAGTGGACATGTATATGTTTATTTTTGATAATCTGCATGGAGCACAACCACCTCAAGGCCACAATACATCAGCTACACTGCCTGTTTCTCCCGGGGGTTTTTTTTTGTTTGTTTGTTTGTTTATTTGTTTGTTTGTTTTTCCTCCTTCTTCTCCGCATGCACTGTCACTATATAACTCAGGACTTAAGCACCTGCCCCTCCCCCTTGCTTGTTTCCTTACTTTCCCCCTGACACACTTTGGTG